CGGATTTGGGGAGATCTCGGTGAGCGCAGTCCAACCATGTTTTCATTTTTTTTTTTTTTTTTTTTGTGACCCACTTTTGGGCCCAACCGGAATTCCGGTTGGACCACCGGGGGTCCAACCGGCCCGGTTGGATCCAGCCCGGTCCGACCGGCTGGTTGCCGGCACAGCCATACTTTAAACATAAAAAATCCTTATCCAGACCATCCAAGTATTAAAAATAATAAGGGACTCACTACACGGGGCCAAAACAGAAGGAAACGAACAGAAACAAGACCACAATCCGTGCAGCTTTACGAACACAAAAGTCCCAAATTTGTTTCGATTTCAGCCTCTTCGCCACACGGCTCGTAAGAAAAAGAGTGCTCACAAGTTTGGTAGACGCGCTCAGCCAAGCACAGATGCCATCTGCCCTCTGGAGCCGTTTGGACTGATGTGTTTGGGCCCTTTGGGGAGTCCGAATGCTATGGGTAAGACATGAATTTTCAAGAGTGCTCGGCGGGCACCTTCAAGGACTCACGGAACCCAATCCCCTGCAAATTTTTCCACACGACTTTCGCACCTTAACTAAACTTCGATCCCCACAAGAGTTCACAAGGTTGAATGGTGGCCAGAAAATGGAACGGGTTCGTGAAAGAACTCATTTCCTTTGCTGTGTGGCAATGCCCTATCTTGATAGGAGTGGATAAGGTTACACGGCGGTCGGCTCTGCTAAGGCTTTCAGTCTAAATTGGTTCAGCCTTGTGGACACACACACACAGCTGATCCCGACATGCTACGACGAAACACAGCAGACCAGGGGAGGGAAAGCATCTCCTCAACTCTGAACGAGTCTTTCTTTTTCACCACCAAAAAAGCAATGTGAAAACAATTCGCCATATTAGTTTTTGACGCTCACAAATGGAGTTCATCTCAGCAGCACCTGCAACATACATCATCACAAAGCAAAAAATCACCCTGACGGGTCTAACCTGACAGAGGCTGTGAACCAAACATGGAAAAACCTTTGCGGCTTTTACTTCCACATGACCTTTGGTTCTCCTGTTTTTCAAAGACATCCTGAAAGCAAACCGCAAGGAACATGGAAGCAAAATTTCTTTTCGTTTCTTTTTTTCCAACCACCACTACATCCTAAAGGTGCGCTTGTTAATTCGCTGCCCATTTCGTGGATGTAGGCCTGGTCTGCACCCAGTTATTTTCATCCTGCATTTCTGGGAAATGTACTGGTGGGGTTTAACAGCCATGCTAAGCTTCTCTGTACAGGTCCGATTTCACCGTACATCTGAAAGATGATAGTTGCTCATTCCGATTTTGATTTGAAATGGGAACACATGCATGTAGCCTTAGACAAAAATTCAGAGCATCATTAATATTTCATCATTATTTTTCCAACTTTTTTCCCCCCCCAAATGGGTTGAAGTCATACTTGCGGCGCACTTCTGCGGTGCGCCGTGCGGTGCGCATGCGCCATGCGCCATGCGCAAATTTTGATGCGCCCATTTTTTTTTTTTTTTTTTTTTTTTAGGGGTGTATGTGTACACCGGGGGGGGGAGAGAGAGAGAGAGAGAGAGAGAGAGAGAGAGAGAGAGAGAGAGAGAGAGAGAGAGAGAG